GGAGGGAAAGGGGGTGGGGACGGGAGGAGGAAAGGGAGAGAAGGGAGAGTGGTCTACTCAGGGCCGGCTGGGGATGCGTGTCTACTTCAAGAACCAGGGGTGAGAGGGAGGATACAGAGAGGGGAAGGGAGAGGTGGGAAGAGGAGGGGGAGATGAGGGGAAGAGGAGGGGAGGGTTGGGAGAGTGGTCTACTCGAGGCTGGGAGGGGACACGTGTCTGAAGTACTTCTAGAACCAGGGGTGAGAGGAGGATACACTCGGGGAAATGAGGAGGTGGTTAAAGAGAAGAGGGAGAGGAAGGGTTAGTAAAGTGGTCTACTTGGGTCCAGCAGGGGACACGTGTCTGAAGTACTTCTAGAACCAGGGGTGAATGGAGGGTGCATTGGGAAGGAAACGGGGAAGGGAGAGGGGGAGAAGAGGGTGGGAAGTGGAGGAAGGTTTGGTGGGAGTGTTCGACTCGGAACTTCACTCTAAACTAGCTTGGGAACTCCAACTTCCTCTCAGACTTGAAACGCTTTGGCTCAACTTGATAAATCCTTTTCAACGCTCTTCCTCCTCCCCGTTCTCCCACTTCCCCCCTCCCTCCCCAACCCCCCCTCTTTCCCACAGGCACGAGTGCCCGCAGCACTCCAACCCAGCAGAGTTCCTCTCAGACCTGGTCGGCACGGACCACTCCTCTCCCGATACCAAGGCACAGTCCGACCAACCACTCCCCCCTCCCCTCTCGCCCCCACACCCCTCCCTCCATCCGGCAGGCACGAGTGCCCGCTGCACTCCAACCCGGCGGAGTTTCTGTCAGACCTGGTCGGCACGGACCACTCCTCTCCCGATACCAAAGCCCGTTGTGAGGCGTCTCAAAATCTCTCCCTCCCTCTTTCCCCCTCCTTCCTCTCCCACTTCAACCTGCAGGCACGAATGCCCGCTGCACTCCAACCCAGCAGAGTTTCTGTGGCACAGACCACTCCTCTCCCGATACCGAGGCCCGTTGTGAGGCGTCTCAAACCCACTCCCCTCCCCCCCCGTTTTCCCCCTCACCCCTCCCTCCTTCTCCAGCCACGAGTGCCCGTTGCACTCCAACCCAGCAGAGTTCCTATCAGACCTGGTCGGCACCGACCACTCCTCCCACGACACCGAGGCGCAGTCCGCCGCCCGCATCAACCGCCTCATCCAAGCCTTCGCCGCCCACTCCGCCGCCCAAACCGGCACCAGTGCCGCCCTGGCCGTCTCCTCTACCCTCCAGGCAAGCCTAGGAGACGACGACGAGGAGGGGGAGGCGGGACAGGAGTCGAAGAGAAAGCTCGGGCTGACGGCAGCCAAGGCAGATGCAGACGGGGTGGGCTTCTGGCAGCAGTTCCGTATCCTCTTAGTCCGAGCGTGGCGCCAAACCACTCGCGACCGCGCCACCAACGTGGTCCGAGCCATGATGAACCTCACTTCAGCAGCCATCTTCGGGTCCATCTTCTGGCGCATGGGCTTCGGGCAAACCACCATCCAGGACCGCATGGGACTCCTCCAAGTCGCAGCTATCAACACAGCCATGGCTTCCATCACCAAGACGCTGAATGTGTTCCCGAAAGAGCGGCAGATAGTGGAGAGGGAGAGGGCCAAGGGGGCGTATGCGGTGGGGCCGTATTTTCTGTCCAAGCTGGTCGCTGAGCTGCCAGTGACGGCGTTTTTCCCCGCGCTGTTCTCGCTGGTGTGCTACCCGATGACCGGTCTGCACCGCACTATTCCCAGGTGAGTGAGAGGCACGGTGCCGGCCCGTTCAGTGGAGAGGGAGAGGGCCAAGGGAGCGTATGCGGTGGGCCCGTATTTTCTGTCCAAGCTTGTCGCTGAGCTTCCCGTGACGGCGTTTTTCCCTTGCGCTGTTCTCGCTGGTGTGCTACCCCATGACCGGTCTGCACCGCACTATTCCCAGGTGAGAGACACGATGCCAGCCGTTGATTGCACCCGCCGTCCCTACACCCGCCGTTCCTCTAGTTCCTGGGAGCCACCACAGTCGAGTCATTCACATCATCAGCCATGGGCCTCACAGTGGGGTGCCTCGCCCCCACCACAGCAATCCCTCACCTCCCCTGCCCCCTCCGTTCCCTCCACCACCCCAACCCACTTCTCCCCCGTCTCCCGCCTTCCATCCCTGCAGGTTCCTCAAGTTCATGGGAGCCACAACGGTCGAGTCCTTCACCTCCTCAGCCATGGGGCTCACAGTGGGGTGCATGATGCATTGCCCCCACAGCAGTCCCTCATTCTCCCCCCAAACGCCCCCCTCCCCATCCATGCTTGCAGGTTCCTCAAGTTCATGGGAGCCACAACGGTCGAGTCCTTCACATCGTCAGCCATGGGGCTCACAGTGGGGTGCATCGCCCCCACCACCGAAGCAGCCATGGCGCTCGGCCCCTCCATCATGACTGTCTTCATTGTCTTCGGAGGGTACTATGTCAACGCCGAGAACACGCCTGCTATTTTCCGCTGGATCCCCAACGCCTCCCTTATCCGCTGGTCAGTACTCATCCAGTGATTTAACTCATGGCCCTGAGCCCTCTACCCATCCATAGTGACCGTGTTCATCGTGTTTGGAGGAGGGTACTACGTCAACCCCGACAACACACCAGTTATCTTCCGCTGGATCCCCAACACCTCCCTCATCCGCTGGTGAGTAATTTACACTCAAACAAACTGGTTTTTACAATCATCCATCCATCCATCCACCCTTCCATCATGACCGTGTTACATTGTCTTTGGAGCCGTCAACCCGGACAACACACCAGTTATCTTCCGCTGGATCCCCAATCCAACACCTCACTTATTCGCTGGTAAGTAGCTCTACCCTTTAAAGCCCTGGCCCCGTCTCCCCTCCAACATGTCCTTTAAAGCCCTGTGTTCAAAATCTTATACTTTTGAGGCGCCTCAAAACAATTCCCTACACCTTCCCCAACGCCCTTCCATTCTCACCCTTCCCTTCCCCCTCTCTCCTTCCCACCAGGGGCTTTGAGGCACTGTGTGTGAACGAGTTTGACGGGCTCACATTCGAGGCCAGCAAGCCCACACACCTTCTCATCCCCCTCTCTCCTTCCCACCCCCTTACCTTCCCACGCCCTTCCCTCCTCACCAGGGGATTCGAGGCGCTGTGTGTGAACGAGTTTGACGGGCTCACATTCGAGGCGACCAAGCCCACGGATCTGAGCACGGGCAAGCAAGTGCTGGAGCGCCTCTCCTTCTCCGATAGCTCCGTGGCCAAATCCGTGCGCAAGGAGGTGCAGATCATGCTCAGCTGGTACTGGGTGTTGGCTCGGCTTACCAAACCCACGCACCTTCTCCTCCCCCTCTCTCCTTCCCACGCCCTTCCCTTTCCCCTCTCTCCTTCCCTCGCCCTTTCCCACTCCCTCCCCACCACCAGGGGCTTTGAGGCGCTGTGTGTGAACGAGTTCGACGGGCTCACATTCGAGGCCAGCAAGCCCACGGACCTGAGCACGGGCAAGCAGGTGCTGGAGCGCCTCTCCTTCTCCGATAGCTCCGTGGCCAAATCCGTGCGCAAGGAGGTGCAGATCATGCTCGGCTGGTACTGGGCGTCCGCTTACCTGCTGCGGAAAAAGACCCCTGAGTTTACCAAGCTGCTGCCGGTGTCTAAGCTGCAGGGGAAGGTGGGGGAGACTGGGTCTGGTAAGGGAGTTGAGGAGGGAGCGAGTGTGAAGAGCAGTGTGGTTATTGAGGAGGTGATTGAAGCGAAGGCGGAGAGTGTGGCGACGGAAGAGGTGGCAACAGAGACGACAACGACTACCACCACCACCACGAGCAGCACCACGGTCACCACTGCTGCTACCACCGCTGCTGCCACCGCTGCTGCCACCGTTGTTACTGAGTCGGCCAGTGTGGAGGTTGAAACCACGGAAGAGGAGTTTGTGGAGGCTGAATCGTAGAATACCGTAGGTCACGGAAGAAGTGACAACAGAGTCAACGGCGACTACTACAGGTACCACCACAACCACCAGCACCACCACTGCTATCACCACTGCTGCCAGCCACCACTGATGCCACTGTGGTTACTACTGAATCGGACAGTGTGGAGGTTGAAACCACGGAAGAGGAAAGTGTGGAGGCTGAATTTTAAAATGTCCTTGTAAAACCGGGGACTTCCAAGTTGTCACTGTACTCGAATAAGAGTATGTTGCTGTTGAACATTCTGTTTGTCGAAATTCTCCTGAATTGCAATGTGAGATGGGAAAGCTTGCTAGTTCTCATACTATCATCAGGCGTGTGCAGTATCGGGATTGCCGCAGTATCTCCTAACTGTGTCTACCAGTGACATGAACCTCAGCAAGGGGGGAATCGATGAAAGTAGTTGTCCTACAAGTGTACTGAGGGAACCTTCTGCAATCCTTGCTGCTGTTGTTACATCTGGAAACATCTACAGGTACTTCTCTTCCCGTCCACCAGTCCCCAGGCCCACACCCTTGTCGCCTCCACTTTCCAGTGTCTTCTCTAGTGCGGTAATGAATACCTAGTGTCTTTTGAAATGTTTCAATCAATCAACCCGAATAGGGATGAGTTTCTGGCATGAACCGTGCAAGCTCAACTCTAAATCTCCTTCCACACTCCTTTTCTGAGCATCTAAGCATCTGAATCAAGCACACCGCCATCCTTTCCAGGCGCCTCAGAAGCACGACTAGGGATGAGCTTCCAGCATGGACGGTGCGAGCTCGACCAGAAACTCTCAAACTCCTGGTCTGTGCACACAAGCAAATGGCTCAAGCAAACCACAGCCCCTGCCATTCGCGGCGCCTCAAACGCTTGACAAAGGACGAGTTTTCGGCATGAACGGTGCGAGCTCGACGTTGAATCGCTTCTCAAACTCCTTGTCTGTGCACACAAGCAACTGACTCAAGCACACCGCCTCCCTTCCCTGCCGCCATTTCTCACACCGCTGAGGCAAACGGCCGACAGCCACAACCCCTTCCCCCCCCAACGCAGCATAGCTGTCATGTGCTATCCTCTCCCCAGTTTTCAAAGCAGTTCTATCCTCCCCCCGAACTCATCTTTCCCACCCACGTCCTCCCCTGCTGCCTTCTCTTCTGCCCCGCTCCTCCCAAATACTCCCCCTTCTCCGTTTTTTGGTAGAGCTACCTCATGTGGCACCAACACATAGCCCTTTCTCAGCAGCGCCAGATGCCGTGGTCTGATTCGCTGATACAAACTGTACGAAAGGAAATTAGGGAACGCAAGCACCTCCTTCATAGACAGCCCCATGTCCCGCTTTAAGTAATCGATCTTGTGCCTTGTGTTCCTCTCCCAACTGTAGCATATACTTGTTGGATACATACGCACCAGATTTGCCACCATCTCACGCGCTGGCAAGCAGCCACTAGCGTTCTTAAATCCTCGTCCTTCTCCTGTCCTTGCTTCTGCACCACTTCCCCCTCCCTCCGCACACTTTCTTGCATCCATTGCATCCTTTTGAGGCTCTTCAACAGGCGGGCTTTCTGGTGCAACCCCACCATCTTCACCACCCTCCAATGCCTCCTCCACTTCTCGCACAAGCTTCCGTGCACCTTTCTGGAGCATTTGCCTCCCATTCTCCTCTCCTCCACTCTCCTCCAATGCCTCTTCCACTTCTCTTACAAGCTCGCTAAAACCCCTCTTAAGGTTCTCTTCGTTAGCCCCCAGTATCGAAGGATTCCGTGCCACTGCAAGCACAGCGTTCTCTCGGCCAATCAGATCGCCCAACAATGCCACCTTCCCTTGCATGTTCTCTACCGATAGAATAAGAATCGACGTATAGCTGCGCACCACACTCCCTGTTGCCTTCCTCCCCAGCAGCTTCTCTAAGTACTGGAGCTTAGATAAGATATTCTGTGAGGTGTGGGAAACAAGAGTGGAGGCCCCGAGGAGAACAGGTATGGCAATGGAAGGGCTGCCAGGGGGGGTGAAGGACTGGAGAAGGCGGAGGTTGGTAGCAATGCGCTCGGGGGACCTGAGGAGGATTCTTGGATATTGCAACAGGAATCTGCTCAGGTGATTTTTGTCCTTGTGCTGCCTATTCAGGTGTTGCCTCAGGTGCCCACTGTTGACACTTCCTTCTCCGTATCCATCGGAAAAATATGCTGATAGTTGCTCGAGACGACTTCGTATTATCTCCTCCCTCACGCATAGGATATCTGGGCCTCTCTCTATAAGCAGGCCCAGTTTCCCAACAGGAACCCCTGCTTTTTCCACCAGGATGTCCAGGTTCATTGAACGAGGCCGCACGGCAATGAGATAATGAGACTTTCGAAGCACCGCATCTAGCATGGTTCGGCGTACACCCCGAGCCAATAGAAAGTCAAGTTTTTCCTGAACCTGGGGAAGGGAGGTTCGGAGCCATGAAGCGTTTCTCACGGTGATAGCTGAGATGTTGGCATGGGATATGCCATACGACTGGAGGAGGTGGACACGTGGCAGCAGGTCACTGGCAGGATCGGAACGCAGGAGGGCAGGGTGGGAGGCGAGGAGGGAAGCGACAGTGGAAGGGGAGGAGATGCCGAGGTGGGAGGAGAAGAAGCGGTAGAGGGAGAGGAGGGAGGAGGGAGATACGACCCGAGGGCTGTTGCGAGGAGGAGGGCGTGTGGGAGGAGATGTGGTGGGTGGTGCGTCTCCCTCACTCGCTTCTGCTCCTGCTTCTGCTGCTGCGTCTTCCCCCTCCTCCCATTCCTCATCCTCTTCGCCCTCTACTTCTGCGCCCTCTGTTTCCTCATCCCCATACCCCACCTCTTCCTCTTCTTCTCGTCCTTTAGCCTCCTTCTCATCCATAATCCTTCCGTCTCTGAACCCCTCTTCTTCTTCTTCCTCCCCTCTCACAATCTGAGGCCCAAATTTCTCTCTCAACACTCCAGCAATCACTGCCACTGCCTTTTTCTCCTCCTCCTCTGTCGCCTTGCATCCTCCCCTCTCTACACGCTTCCAACCGCCTCCCTCAACCTTTCCCTCCACTCCACTTGCTTTCTTCTCACGTCTCGTGCGCTCTCCTCTGCCATCCACCTCCTCTCTTCCCACTATACTCACGCCCTTCTCAAACTCTCCTCCCTCACTCTCTCCCTCCTCTCTTCCATCTGTACGCAATCGATCCTCTGTCCCAACCGCCACTGCTGGTTTGCCGTCAAAGCTCCGATCCAATCGGCACCTCTGCTAGTCTGGCCCACGATCTAGCAAGACAGCTTATAGTGAAGCTCCGGTCAGGGGTTCGAATCTTGGTTAACGCGATTTGCGCGGGCTGATGTCGGTTTAACCCGAACGGGTAGACGCTCGGCGGAGAAGGAATAGCAGCTGCGGATGTAATTTTGGGCTTCAATAATAGTAACTTGGAACGAGGGGTAGAAGATTGTGTCATGTATCTTAGCGAAAAAAAAAATATGTCAATCCGCGCGATGGATGGCCGTGACCTGGACATACGACACGCCATTGCGATTAGCCGACGGATTATACGGCTTCAGGATGAAAAAAAAGGATGAAAGATTACATAAACGAATTATACGGCTTCAGTGCTTGTCCTACTACGAACTATCAGACGTAATTCCCTGAGCATTGTGCTGTGACTGCCAGAAATCGAACGAACTAAAAGAGCGCTTCGTATCATGCTGTGACTGCCTGGAAACTAACGAGCTAAATAAGCGCTTCGTCTTTATGGTTAGTCCAGTTCGCTGGCGGCAGCCATGTCGCTCTCCCAGAGCAGATCCCAGAAAACACCAGATCAAGTGTCCTGGTTATAAATTAGCGACGGATGGAAGGGAACTATCGAGCTGTTGGCACTGGGATTACTGAGGTGCGATAATCCTGGCTGGCGAATCAATATATTCTCCTTTCACTTGTGCATTGCGACACTGAAATGTCGCAGGCAGGGTTTCGTGTTCTTTCGCTAGCCCAATTGTATCCAAACGACGACTGGTTGCTCCAATTGCGATGTCGTGTGTGTTCGCCTGTCAAGTCCGTTTGTGCCGTTCCAAAGCCGTACCCGTTTGGTATTTTATAAAATGCTTCCGGCATAAACAGAGCAAGCTTGACTTATTATCTCTGTTAAAATTCCTTGTTTGTGCATCCAAACACCTGAATCAAGCAAACCGCACCCCCTGCCATTTGCAGCTCCTAACAAAATGACTAGGGACGAGTTCCTGGCATGAATGGTGCAATTTGAACCTTGAATACGTACCTTCTCTAATTCCTTGTATGGGCAAACAAGAAACAGAACCAAGCAAATTGCCCCCATGTGAGGCGCCTCAGAAGCCCGACTAGGGACTAGTTTTCGACATGAAGGGTGCAAGCACGACCTTCAATCTATTTTTAAATTCCTTGTCTAGGCAAGAAATTAACACAACAAAGCACACCGCCCCCCTTTTATAAGGCGCCTCCAAAGCCCTGCTAAGGACGAGTTTCTGGCATGAACGGTGCAAGCTCTACCTTGAACCTCTTTTCAAACTTCTTGTCTGAGCATCCAAGCAACTGAATCAAGCAAATCGCCTCCCTTCCCTGCTGCTGATTCACGCCGCGCCTGTCAGCAGCACCTTTTCTCCCCAGCACATCACAGCTGTCTTGCATAGAATCCACTACACTTTGATATTCAACCTTCCTCACCCCCAACTCATCCATCTCACCCTCATCCTCCCCGTATTCCACTTCCATATCCTCGTCCTTCCCTTCTGCCCTCCACCCGCTACCAACTCCCTCCAATGCCCTCCTCCCGCTGCCAACTCCCTCCAAGTGCCCCCCCCCTTCTCCACTATTCTTTGGCAGAGCTACCTCATGTGGCACGAGCTCGTAGCCCTTGCTCAGCAGCGCCAAATGTCGCGGCCTGATTCGCCGATCCAAGCTGTACCCAAGGAAAAAGGTAACTCAAGCACCTCTTTTATAGACAGCCCCATTTCCCGTTTTAAGTATTCCACCTTGTGCCTCGTGTTGCTCTCCCAACAGTAGGAAATAGATGTTGGAAACTTGACCACCAGCCTCGCCACCATCTCACAAGCTGTGGTGGCACCAGCAATGCTCTTAAAGCCCAGTTTTCCTCCTGCCCGTGCTTCTGCCCGTGCTTCTGCACGTGCTTCTGCCCTTGCTTCTGCCCAGCTCTTTGAACCGGCTTGAGAGCCGGCACCCCTCCCCCCCTTGCTCCACACACTCTCTTGCGTCATTATTCAATGCCTCTTCCCCCAGCCTTCGCGTTTCGCTTCCTACTTCCCCACTGCTCCCCAACGCCTCTTCCACTTCTCGCACAAGCTCTCTGAAATTTCTTCTGAGATTCTCCTCACGGGCCGTCAGAATCAAAGGATACCTTGCCGCTGCAAGCACAGCGTTCTCTCGACCAATCATATCGCCCAACAACGCCACCTTGCCTTGCACGTTCTCTAAAGAATGATTCAGAACCGACGGGTGGCTTCTCACCACGCTTCCTGCTGCCTTCTCCCCCACCATCTCTTTTAAAAATTGGAGCTTAGCTAAGAGATTCTGCAAGGTGTGGTGGACGAGAGTGGGAGCATGGCGGAGAATGGGGAGGGCAATGGAGGGGCTGCCTGGGGGAGCGAAGGACTGGAGGAGGCTGAGGTTGGCAGAAATGCGCTCGGGAGTCGTGAGGACGATACCTGGATACTGCACCAGGAGTTTTATCAGGTGATTCTTGTCCTTGTGTTGCGTATTCAGGTGTTGCTTCAGGTGCCCGCTGCTGACGTTTCCTCCTTCGTATCCATTGGTAAAATACGCTGATAGATGCTCGAGGCGACTTCTTATGTTTTCCTCCCTCGCGCATAAAATATTCGGAGCTCTCTCTATAATCACTCCCAGCTTGTCCACAGGAACCCCTGCTCTCTCCACCAGTATGTCCAGGTTCGTTATACGAGCTCGCTTGCTAATGAGATATGGAGACGTTCGGAGCACCGAACCTAGCTTGGTACGGCGTACACCCCGAGCCAAGAGGAAGTCAAGCATTTCCTGAGTATGGGGAAGAGTGAGCCTTAGCCAGGAAGAGCTTTTCATGGTGATGGCTGAGATGTCAGCACGGGATACGCCATACGACTGTAGAAGCTGGACACGTGGCAGCAAGTCATTGGTGGGATCGGAGCGGAGGAGTTGGGGGTTGGCGGCGAGAAGGGAAGCGACAGTGGAAGGGGAGGAGATGCCGAGGTGGGAGGAGAAGAAGCGGTAGAGGGAGAGGAGGGAGGAGAGAGATACGGCCCGCCGGCTGTTGAGTGGAGGAGGGGGTGTGGGAGGAGGTGTGGTGGGTGGTCCGTCCGCTTCTGCTTCTGCTTCGTCTGCTGCTTCTTCCCCCTCCTTCCCTCCCCCATCCTCTTCCTCCTCACCTTCTAAGCCCTCTGTTTCCTCATCCCCATACCCCACCTCTTCCTCTTCTTGTCGTCCCTTAGCCTCCTCCTCATCCGTAATCCTTCCGTTTGCAGACCCCTCCTCCTCCTCCTCTCTCACAATCTGAGGCCCAAATTTCTCTCTCAACACTCCAGCAATTACTGCAACTGCCTCTTTCTCCTCTGAATCCTTGCACCCTCCCCTCTCTCCACGCTTCCACCCGCCTCCCGCAACCTTTCCCCCCACTTCCCTTGCTCTTGTCACTCTACTCTCGCTCTTGTCTGATTTTCCTCCCTCACTTTCTCCCTCATCTCTTCCATCGTTACGCAACCGAGCCCGTGTCCCAACCGCCAGTACTGGCTTGTCATCGAAGCTCGGATCATATCGCCCGTTCGCGCTTTCCGCCTCGGAAATTCTTGGAGTCGATTCGGAGGACTTCTGAGTCGACTTAGAAGCCAAATCAAATCGCACGTTCGCGCTCTCCGCCTCGGGAACCTCTGCTGGTCTGGCCATCGATCCAGCGGGACAGCTTACAGTGAAGTTACGGTCAGGGGTTCGAGTCCTGGTGAATGCGTTTTGCGCATGTTGATGTCGGTCTAGCCCAAAACGGTAGAGGCTCCGCGGAGAAGGAATAGCAGCTGTGGATGTAAGCTCGGGCTTCGATAAGGATGACTTGGAACGAGGAGAAGAAGATTGTGTCATGTATCGTAATGAAAATCTTAATCTGTAAATCCACGCAATGGATGGCCGTGTCCTAGAGGTGCGACACGCCATCGCGAATAGCCGATGGATGTAAACTAAGGAATGAAAGTTTGTTTGAACGAGTTATAAGGCTGTAGTGCGTGTCCTGCTACAAACCATCAGAAAATTTGCTGATCGTTGCAGTTACTCCCACCAGCGGTTTGTAACCCAGATTTAGGGTAACGCGTGGACACGCGCGGTGTATACAGTGGATGAACGGTGTTAGCGTTCCGTGCCGTCAACCGAAATCAGCACGTACATTTCACGGCCGCGAACACCCCGCGCACCATTCGGGAAACACTGTACGCGGGTCAGCGAAACCGCACCATGACTTCGTAAAGCGCGTGCGAGTCTCGCAAATCCAAGCATACACAAACACAGATTGGGAACGCGCCTCGTCGCCAAATCCTCCAGCACAGAACCAGCGACTCCCACTCGACATATGTGAGCCTAGAAACCTTGCTGAGCGCAACAGGCGCTGATGCCACATCCAGCTGTGACGATCGCCGTCACCGCTGAATACGGACGACACACATAGACACGGGAGTCCTGCCCAAGTCGCGCTGACTAGGCCTTGAAAGGCGCCAGACCAGGCGCGCTGACTAACGCGCTGACCCCGCCTCAAACAGCCACTAAGCTGTTTGGGCAGAGTAGTAGTAGTAGGAAGTGCTCTTAGGAGAATTTCAGGATGAAAGTAGTAAGATAGCTTTACAAGAGATCATATGATGGCATACATTTCAGAGATGCATCCTAATATACTAGGATACTAGCATGGGCGCCTCGAGCTGGTCGCTCAGGTCGCCATTATTATTCCAAGAGCTAAGAACAGCAAGGCATAGTCACTATGATTATGTACACAAGATACTAGCCTTGTTGTCATATCCTAGAACCAATTAGCAAAGTCTAGGAATTCACTAAAGACACAGGCAGAGATTATTTGTCTTGTTGTCGTTCATGTTGTCGTTGATAATGATGACCACAAGCCCCGTTGGAAGTAGTCATGGCTGTAGGTAACTATGCTTGCTTGTGCTGTCAAGTACGTTGCTGCGCTGTTGGAATTCTCGGCCGTGTTGTGTCGAGCAGTAGAGTGCTCTCTGGAGTTGTTCCCACGGTTGGAAACTCAGAAAGTCGGGTCGCACATTTCAATGTTGGAGTTCCAACATTGAATTCCCGAAATGCACTTAGGGTGTGTTCCGAATTCTGGTTCGGATCACAAGGAGCTGAGTTGGCGAAATCGAGGAAGGCGAGATCGCCTTCGTCTTGTTACATTACTCCCCTCTCCAGCAAGCACCGTCCTCGGTGCTTGAGCAGATGCAAGGTAGCTCTGAAGGGCTCTTTGGGCATTCTGAAGGCTTGTCTCGGGTATCCAGAGGTTGTGAG